ATAGACGACGGCAGATATGCTGACTCCATTATTGCAAAAGATCTGGAAAGAGGGAAAGGTGCCTACTGACTGGAGGAAAGGTTACCTGGTGAAACTACCAAAGAGGGGCGACCTGGGACTCTGCAAGAACTGGCGAGGAATCATGCTCCTGTCGACGCCAAGTAAAATCCTGAGTCGCATCATCCTGGAGAGAATCAAGGACGCACTGGATACAGAACTCCGACCAGAACAAGCTGGATTCAGGAAAGGCAAATCATGTTCTGACCTAATTGCAACTCTACGCATTATCATCGAACAAAGCATGGAATGGCAATCAAACCTCTACCTCAACTTTATAGACTTTGAGAAGGCCTTCGACAGCGTTGACCACGAAGTAATTTGGAAACTACTGGAGTACTACGGCGTACCCCAAATATTCATCAACCTTATTCAACAACTGTACGACAACGGCACATGTCAAGTCATCCACAACGGAAAACTCAGCGAGGCGTTTGGAGTAAACACAGGAGTCAGACAAGGGTGCTTATTATCACCAATGATATTCCTAATTGTGGTGGACTGGATTATGCGTCAGACAGTGGGAAACAACAAGACAGGGATATCCTGGACCGACGTGAAGAACCTAGAAGACCTGGATTTTGCGGATGATTTATGTTTGATGTCACACAAAATCGAAGACTTACAAGCAAAAACCGACAAACTGGTCGAAGAAAAAGCAAAGACAGGACTCCAGGTGAACATAGACAAGACGGAGGTCATGAAAATAACCAACCAACAGCAGCAGCAGCAACATCCAGTGCCAATCACCATCAACGGGAGGGATTTGAAAGAGGTTACTTCTTTCACTTATCTAGGGAGCATTGTCTCAACCACAGGAGGAACGGACGAGGATGTCAAATCGAGAATCGGGAAGGCGAGAAACACATTCATCAATCTGAAACCAATCTGGAAATCTTCGTCACTCAGCATCAACAACAAAATTCGGATTTTCAATACAAACGTGAAGTCAGTTTTGCTTTACGGATCAGAAACTTGGCGGGTCACCAATAATATTTTCAACAGGTTGCAGACCTTTATCAACAACTGTCTTCGCTCTATACTGAAGATTAGATGGCCGGAAAGAATCACAAACAAGAAGCTATGGGAACAAACGAAACAGGAACCAATCGCCCAACAAATATGCAGGAGGAAGTGGAGATGGATTGGACACTCGCTGAGGAGGCCGTTGAGTGACATCGCGCGTCAAGCCCTCGAGTGGAACCCGAAAGGGAAGCGGCGAGTGGGACGTCCAAGGGTGACATGGAGGAGATCGTGTGAGGAGGAGATGAAACAGTATGGAATAACATGGACGCAAGTGAAAAGAACAGCAGAAGACAGAAGCAAGTGGAGACGTGCAGTTGAAGCCCTATGTTCCACTAGGAACCCAAGGGAACAATAATAATAATAATAGTGAACCAGTAAACTAGGTGAAATTATTACTTAACCGTTTTTTAACGACGAAACATTTTCCATTTTTAATTGAAATGAATCAAAAAGCCACTAAAATCGAGAGTCCAGGACCATATGAAATTATAAATCAAGTATTATGTAATATCTGAATTAATATTCTAATAGTTGTGGATGGTGTAGCCTGCTTTGACGCATCATTCTAGGTGAATACACTCATCCCTCTAGGGCATATTTAATTAAGTAAGAAAGTTTACAGAATTAGATTGTTATAACAGGTTCTCATTTTTGTTTCCAAATCATTCATTACCATTTGTAATAGTGTGGTGAGAGATGGTCGCTAGCCAAATTGGTTGGCAGTAATTGAGGTCAAAGTGGACAGGCGGATGCAGTTAACATATAGATGAACTGACACAGCCACAAGATATGCAAGGTCAACTTTGCGTGAGAAACAACCAATCAACAGACTGTATTTTCTACTAACATTGACCTACAATAATGTACATAAAAATCTATAAATACTTGTTGATTTTTCGTAATAAACGTTCTGTTGCCTGGCCCTTGTCTTCTGTTGTTACATTTGGTGTCGCTGCCTACCGACAAATGGAAAGCCTATGCCCTGCAGTTTTTGATGGAGACATATGGATCTTCGGGCAGGACTTCGAGGCTTCTTCGCAGTTGAGTGGCGTTCAAGATCTGTCAGCGATGAGGCTGCTACTTGGGACGCTGCTGGAAGGTCGGGAGAAAGCAGCATATGGAAGTGTGAGGCGAAATACCTACGAATGTGCGACAGGGTCAGGCAAACAGTTTCCAAAGTGGGAAGGACCATATATGGTCACGTTGAGATGGGGTTACGCAGACACAATCGCAATGATAAACACAGAGAAACAAGTGAACATCCGCAAGCGCCGAGATTTCAGACAGCAAGACAAAAGAGCAAAGCCCCAAGAACCGAGAAGACCGAACCAACTTCAGTCGCCAGTCTTTGACGGGGGGACGAGTGTGGTGAGAGATGGTCGCTAGCCAAATTGGTTGACAGTAATTGAGGTCAAAGGTCAAGGTGGACAGGTGGATGCAGTTAACATATAGATGAACTGACACAACCACAAGATATGCAAGGTCAACTTTGCGTGAGAAACAACCAATCAACAGACTGTATTTTCTACTAACATTGACCTACAATAATGTACATAAAAATCTATAAATACTTGTTGATTTTTCGTAATAAACGTTCTGTTGCCTGGCCCTTGTCTTCTGTTGTTACAATAGAACTTTGAACTAATTCTGGCTCTAATTGGTGGATGGTGACTTGCAGTGGAATCCAGGACAATGCGCATTTCGTCCTATTTGGGACTCATAAACTGGAAGTAGCAGCATTCTTCAGTGACTGATGATTTTCTCACCGAGGCTCATAGTTTCAAACGTGAAAGCGTTATCCACTAGACCACTTGAGCCACCTCGTGTGCAACGGGTTAAATGAATTATTTAAGTGAATTTTAGATTTTCTCGTCGATTGATTGTACCGAAGTGGATAGCGCTTTGGCGTTTGAAACTATGGGCACTGGGTTCGAGCCTCGGTGTGAAACATCATCACTCACTGGAGAATGCAAGTACATCCGGATGATGAGTCCCAAACAAGACGAAAATGGTCATCCTAGATTCCACTGCCAGTCACCATCCACCAATTAAATTTTAATTGCATGCCCAGATATCGTCGAAGCATCTGCACAAGAAGCCGACAGACATGTCAACCTGAGACCGAGCGCTTCTGTGCAATCAATCGACGGGAAAATCTAAAATTCAATTAAATAATTCTGGCTCATTTAAACTTTAAAGTAATATACCACCTTTCTTATAAATCCGCTGATTCCTTCCAACTCCAGACACAGATAACTCTGTCTCGATCGCGTATGTTGTGCACGATGTTCTATACAACCTGTACTCCTATAACGTTGTTGACAATACTTACGGTATCAAAAGATTAAGTTGTGAAGTTTGTAAGATTGTGACATGTGTGTTTCAAAGGAATTCTCTCAGCTCCTGCATTAGGTTTCGCCTTTTTCATTTGAATAGTAGATCTCTCTTAAGCTAATACATTTTGTTTACTTTTCAGACAAAAATTGATGGAATGATTGTCTCAAATACAACACTGGCAACACAAGAACAAGCTGTCGCCTGTGGTGCTGCTGCTCACTTGTCAGATAACAATCAACAAACAATTGTATATGGCGGTTTAAGTGGTCGTCCATTATTTGAAAAGTCAACTGAATGCCTGAAAAAGATTTCTGTTTTGACTAAAGGCGCTATCCCACTGATTGGTGTTGGTGGGATAAGTAATGGAGAAGAAGCCATGGCCAAATTGAATGCTGGTGCTACTTTAGTCCAGTTGTATACAAGTTTTGTTTATCAAGGCCCACCAATTGCTCATAAAGTAGCTAGAGAAATAAATGAACTCAGGACTAAAAACAACAATGTCTAGTGCTGTTTGATATATGAAATTGTTAATTTTGTTTTTTTTTAAATGTAGATATAGAAATTTTTATACATTGTTACTATTCTTTTTGTGTTTTATTGTGAGTTGAGATGTTAGTAAAACCGGAGGAAATTGTTACGTATCATATTGATTAGAAGTTAACTTTTACAACGCGAATCGGTAATAGTAATTGGACACAATTTTATGTTGTAGAGTAGATTGTGTAAGCATTTAAAGCTGGAGTACGCGTATTCCTTTACACATTGGATGATTCAAACAGTGTTATTAAAACAAACTGTTTCCTAATGAAAATGATGACTGAAGAATTCATAATATTGATATAAAGATAAAACTTGTGCCCTGTGGTACAGTATAACTCCATTAGAGATAAGATTTTATTTTGATAAATCACACAATGTTACACAGTAATATTAACTGATGACGTTTTGAGCACAAACTATTGACATTCACAATCATATCAAGTCACTCAATCACACAACTCTCTAGCTTCATTCATATACATGAGTGATATTGATGAATAGACATTTGAATAAAAGTCGATATGGGATAATGTACATTCAGAAATAATAATATGAGCTTTGCTGATCAATTACAATCAGATGGGAAATAAGACGAGTGTTTATATAGTCAAAATAAGTAACTTGTTGGAATGTTATGATGTACATGAATTGAAATAGAATTTCAAGATTATTTATTATCCTCCTCTGATTTGACTGACTGGTGGTAATAATGTCTTCCATGAATTTCTCTGGTATTTGCATTGAGTCATTTGTGTTGCATGTGTTGTGTTGGGTGTAGACTCGATGAATCGGCAGGATTCAGTAATCAACCTGTCTCTCCACCTACCTAAACTACTTCTTATAATTTTAACCCTCTCCCACCACCATATTGTGTGGTTGTGTTAATGCATGCAGTGCAATTGCTGAGCTTTTTTATTACCGCCAATCAAATCAGAGGAGGATAATAAATAATCTTAAAATTCTATTTCAATTCACGTCCATCACAACATTCTAACAAGTTACTTATTATGACTATAAAAACATTCGTCTTATTTCCCATCTGATTGCATTTGATCAATAATACTCATATTATTATTTCTCAATGTACATTATCCTATATTGATTTTTATTCAAATGTCTAATCATCCATTCCACTCATGTATATAAATGAAGCAAGAGAGTTGTGTGAGTGAGTGAGTGACTTGATATGATTATGAGTGGCAATAGTTTGTGCTCGGAATGTGGTCGCATCAGTTAATATTACTGTATAACACCAGTGTGTGATTTATCAAAATAAAACCTTATGCATAATGGAGTTACACAAATAAGGAATTGCAACGACACGCATTAAAAAAAGAGTTATCACCAAATGATGCAATAAAATGAAAGGTGACAAGATTATAAAATATCTTTCCGCTCAATTACAACTGGACATTCAGAAGAAAGTTGAAGGCTAAATATCCATGCAACTTGAAAATCGGTCTGACTTATTCATGAAGTTATAATGTTGAAGGTATGATTAAACGTGGTGATGCAACATACACGATTACAAACTAAAACTCGGAGGGTACCATGCAGTTTCTATCTTCATCCTCAGCTATAAGCCTTCTCGATTATTTTCAACACTCCCTTAAACTCCAATGATCACGCCTTGGTCCGTGCACATGTTTATTGCTGCAAGACTTTTTCAAGCCTGACTCGAAAATGATATCACTACGTCTTCATTTAAGAAATAACTAAACAATCATTTGAAGATGATGGCTATTCCCAAATAGAACTAATCTGATGACATGCTCTATCCGTCAAAAAAACATCAATAAAGACAATTAGTAGCTTATAACAATCTTGTTTTTGAAGCGTGGCAAACAGATTCGCAGTAGGTCTATGTAAAGTTCTTCATCGATCTGTCAGACAGTAATACATTCATTAACAACAACCATGGCCTTATAGTATTACCAGACTCGTAGGAATGAAAGCCCCACGAAGATGCACTAAATGTCTCAGAGATGGTTACAAACATACATGAATCACCGGAAAAATACCAACACTTAAGGTATTGAAAGTTACTAAGTAGATAAAAGTCGAAAATTCAAACTGTTATCAAGAAACATTTGTAAAATCTCAGCGAGATTGAAATGAGTAATTCCAACGTTTCGTTCGGCAATCTGGTCCGGACTTCTTCAGGGAAATTAATCGAAATTAACATAACAGAGGTTTATATTTAAAAGGAACATCTCCTGTTTTTAAAAACTTTTTCCAGTCATGAAACAGGTATCAACATGTATAATATACAAAATTGTATCAGCCGTGATCCAAATTTGACCTCGGACTTACAAATATTGGTCTGCCTTTGTTAAACACTTTAAACAGAGTCTGTTTCTGTGTGTGGATAAATGGTTGTAAAACATTTGTCAACGTCTGCATAAGAAAATATAGACAATCGGGAATTTTGACCAAGTATTATTAATTAGTGATACATATCCATTAACTTATTTATTAATCAGGATTCTGTCAAATCTTGACGATAGTTCATTTGAATGTTATCAAGAAACGTTCCTGATAGTGGATGACACTTCAGACCGAATACCTTAAGGAACAATTCAATCGGTTTATTATCACGTTCTAGATGGCATTTATTTGACTTCAAAATGAATCAGGTGAATATATCTGTCTTAATATGGAAACGTTTTTCCAAACTTGTAGGCTTGCTAATAAAGGATCTGACGAGAGGTGGTCACGAACTAAAATTTGTTTACACAAGCATTAAAGGACGCTTTGTGTATTTGTCGAATTCATGCAAGACAGGATAAAAAACTTCCTGCAATGACGCTTAGATTACACAGCAAATGTTCTGGTCGATTTTTATTTTGGGAGTTCATCAACTTGTGACATTGACATACCCAACTATCAGTGGAAATAATGTTTGAGTAGTCGGTTAACGTTTCCTAGTTAATGACTGAGATGAAGAATACGAAAGCACAAATATTATATTTTGATATTGGATATTCCTATACCATGATGCACAATTTAAACGTCTTTTCTCATAATAAATTAATACAAACAAAGAAAGAAGAAATATTGGCTCAGAATAATCTAGATCCATTTTATTTAGTTGGTTCTCATCAGCTGCGTACAACCTGGATGTTTTGTCCATTAGCAAGCACACTGTCAGAGCGTCATAGTGAAATAAGGCGTTGCGATTTGACTATGACGCTCTGACAATATGCTTGCTAATGGACAAAACATTCAGGTTGTACGCAGCTGATGAGAACCAACTAAATAAAATGAATCCAGATTATTCTGCGCCAATGTTTCTTCTTTCTTTGTTCAAATTTATAAAACGGAATCATTGTATGAAATTCTTGAAAAGTCGTCTCCCTGCTACTTCATTCAAGTCGCTGAATCAATTGGTGACCTTACGCTGCAGAATATCACGCGAAGTTACTCGACTGAAATTTTATGATCAATGTCTACGCTCCTGCTGTTTCCCTCGTCAGTTTATAAAAAACTTTCGTTCTTGTAAACTTCCTCCTTCCTTGAAAAATCTCAGACGCTTAACAAAATCCAATATTGAATCGACGAAACGGCTGATTACGAAGCTGAAAACAGAAGCTAGCTCTTTTGAAGACACTGTCAATGATTTAAACATCGTATGCAGAGTCAAATTCATAAATTTCATTCGAGATCTTCAAAACAAAACAAGTGAAAATTTCTTCACGGCCCTATCGAAGACATTAGTGAAAGAACAATTATGTGAAAGCTTCGCGGAAAACCCCGGAAAATACGTTATCAATCAGTCAAGTGTAAAGCTAAATCAAACTGAAATTGAGGCACTTTCACTCGGTTTCAAGTTCCATGTACCGAGAAAATTTGTGAATAAAATAGACACAGAAGCCCAATTCGAGAATTTATTCAACCAGTTAACCGACTTACATCCCGTTAGTGAAGATAAGAAAGGTTGGTTCAAATCAAGACTAGTTGATATCTCTAACCAGTACCTATGCTCACCAATTCAAGAGTCTAGAATCATGACGAAAGAACACCGAAAAGCAATTAAACGTCTGCTCAACAATGAAGATATCGTCATACTGCGACCAGACAAAGGTTCAGGCGTGGTAGTGATGAACAAGGCTGAATATGTCCAAAAAATGGAGTCCATTCTGAATGACACGTCGAAATTTAAGATTGATAACTGCAAGAAGGATATGACGGATTCGGCAGAAAAGAAAGTCACGAAAGTACTCAGAGAGCTATTGAAAAAGAAAATGATTAACAATCATACGTATAATGAATTAAAACCCACGGGGTCTCGTCTACCATATACGTATGGTCTGCCGAAGATACATAAAAAGAATTGCCCAATGAGACCAATACTCTCAATGGTGAATTCACCCTTTCACAAAGTTGCTCGCTGGTTAGCCGATAGGTTAGAACCTGTCAGACAACGTCTAGCTAAACATACTCTAAAAGACTCATTCCAATTTGTTGAAGAGGTGAATCAACTCAGTGTACATGACAAAATCATGGTTTCCTTCGATGTGACTTCTCTATTCACGCAGATCCCTCTGCATGAGACATCATCTGTCAACACTCTGATCTTCTTCCTCTACCAAAACTGGAATTTAAGCAGCTTCTCGTGTTATGTACTAATGATATACAATTCCAGTTTGACAACAAAATGTATCGCCAGGTTGATGGAGTGGCAATGGGGAGTCCACTGGGTCCGATATTAGCTGATATCTTTATGGCCAGTCTGGAACAGACAAAGCTCAAGTGTGCAACTGGCGAAACAACAGCCTACTATAGATACGTTGATGACACATTCATTGTATGCAATGATTTGAGTCACGCTTCGTCTCTATTAGACTCTTTCAACAATGTACACAAAAGCATCACTTTCACGATGGAGCATGAAGATGATGAAAAATTCCATTTTTTGGACGTAAAATTGGAGAGAAAATACGACGGGACACTCGAAAGATCTGTATATCGTAAAGACACATGGAGTGGTCTTTACTTGAATTTCAACAGCTTCTGCCCAGTGAGATACAAACGAACGCTGGTGAAAACGCTTTTCTCTAGAGCGAAGAGAATATGTTCACCAAACAAACTAGACAGTGAACTAATGCTTCTTGAAAAATGCTTGAAAGAAAATGGTTACCCACAAAGTTTCATTAACAAATATGGCAAGAATGAACTCAAGAAGCTTGATACAGCTACAGTCAGTAAGAAGCCTATTTTCATCAAACTCGACTACAAGGGCGACGACATTATGAGAATGGTAAATAAAAGATTAAGCGCAGCCCTGTCTAGGACGTATCCTGCAGCATTATTAGTCTCTCTATCCCGAACAACCTCCTCACTGGTGCAGTCAAAGATTGACAAGTACCCCTCACATGTTACCTCCAACTGTGTATACCAATTCACATGTATCTGCGGGAGCAGTTACATTGGAAGAACAGAGAGGAGGGCCTACGTCAGATTCTGCGAACATGTACCAAGGAGCCTCCGGTTAAAGGGACCGAATTGTTTAAGCTCTTCAATCGCCAAACACCTGATTGACACAGGACACCGAGTAGATGTGCTGGAATCATTCAAAATAATTAACAGACAAAGTACCTCAAGTCTTCTCAGGTTTGCTGAAGCTATAGCAATAAAACGATTGAAGCCTGACTTATGTGTCCAAAAAGAATCCGTTGTTGGACTTCAATTACCCTGGTGACTCACTTCTTAGTAACTCTTTGTTTTCTAATTTTGTTAACTTATCTTTTCACTCCCCCCCCCCTATTTTTCGCTTGACTCTCTTAAGAGATAATTTTTCTTGATCTTATGAGTTCTGCTCACTGTATTACATCATCAACTTCTCATCTGACCTCATGTGCACCGAAATTTTGATCTTCTCTTATCTAATTACGTAACTGTTACTAATTTTCTTTTGTTACCACCCCAACAACACAACTGTTAATTAATTTTTTTTCAAGAAACTTCTCTCTAACAAGATATATATATATATATGTCGTAACACTTTAAACACCTTGTAAATCGCAACGCCTTATTTCACTATGACGCTCTGACAATATGCTTGCTAATGGACAAAAGTTTGTTAAAATTGTACACTTTTATTTTATTCAAGAATTCAGGTTGTATGCGGCTGATGAGAACCGACGAAATAAAATGGATCCAGATTATTCTGCGCCAATATTTCTTCTGTCTTTGTTTAAATTTATAAAATGGAATCATTGTATGAAATAAATTAATAATCTGTACAAATGAAAATTGACAGCATTCAAACATATTTAAGGTATAAATTCAGAGATAACGTTGTACCACCGGAGAATATGTAAGAAAACAATAATTAAGAAAGAAAAAAATGTGACATTTGCACAAAATTTTAACAGGATGTCGTCGAATTCTCAAGAAGTCAAAAGTATTTCTTCAGCCTCTTTTACAAGCTGCTGATATGATGATGAATCTTTTTCTTGATACCCTGATGAAGATGCTAACTGTTGCTCTTTGACACTTATTAAATTGATGACATTTTCAATTTTCGATTTATTTTCACCGACTGAATAATATGATTTCACTGACAATCTTCCGCGTAAAACTGCTAATTCAAACGTTAATCCAAATCCCTGATGAACACCAGTGTCAAATTTCTCTTGCAAGAGAGCATCAGTTCTAGCAAAGTAACCTTCTCTTACACCTGCATTATAAACCTCTGCAGCACGACGTTCCCAATCTCGTGAAGCAACTTCTAATTCTGAATGAGTATCGGTTATGCCAGTATCAAAAACATCATCCATAGAAATATGTATATATCTGAAATTAAAAAAACTTGACAGTAAATAAATGCCTTTTAAAATATTACTATACACTTTCAACATGCGATATGTTTATCTCCACGAATTATGTTAATCGAAGTACAATAAGGTTAAATAAAAGCAAGGTAGTCACACCAAAATATTCAACTGTTGGTTTCTAGGGATTTGATTGGTTACAGGATTTCATCATGAGCTGACATTGGTTAGAGAACCGCTGGAAAACCTGAGAGTACTGGACAGCAGTTTCGTCCGAGTTTGAGACTCTTCAGATTTCTACAAACCAACAGTTGAATATCGATGAGATGCTCACTGACGACTTGCCGTACTCAGATAGGTAGTTACCAGGGGGTTCTAGTGAGAAGTCGTGGTCAGTAGAATGCAGTAGGTCGGGTGTGAGGACAAATACTCGCCGAAGACATTGGTTAGTGGTCACGCTATGTCGTGAATTGGCAGAAGTTAGAATTCATGGGCTATTGGATCGGGTCCCAGTGGCTCAATGGTCCACGAGCTCGCCTTGTAACCAGAAGGCCCTGGGTTCGAGCCCCTGTGGGTGCTTACTGCTTAAGAGTCCCAAACTAGGCTGACGAAACAGCTGTCCAGTACTCCCAGGTTTTCGAATGGTTCTCTAACTAATGTCAGCTCATGATGAAATCCTACACCAAAATATGTTGCCAATCTATGAAGTCAATGACTTTCATCTAAGTTGCGTAAATTGTTGTTGATGATACTGCTTATAATTGACCGCAGTAGCACAGAAGTACTGACAACTTTAGGTTCTCTTCGTGATAAAATTCCACTTATTAATTTGCTTAATCCCTTCCTATTTGGTCTTACAGTAACACATGAGCTTTGATTACATTACTTCGAATTATATTACCTTTCTAACTGATGTGATTACTTAGACCATAACATAGTAATCTGTCTGTTTCCAAAATAGAACTTTGCACCGATGTGCGGCAGTTTAAGTCGCCACACTCCCTTCATGTAGCACACAAAACAAGAGAAGAAAGTAGCAGAAATGCATAATAGAGACAGTAGACAGGAATATCAGACAAAGGAATAGTAATAACGAAGAATAAAATAGTTTCATTGAAAATTATAAGTCACAAGGAGCTGATGCATCTGCACTAGCTATTGAGAACGATTTTGAGCCATATCACCGATTGTTTGCAGTCTTCATTGGTTTTTGTGGTCCCAAGGACCCCAACGAGAAAGTCTACACCTTCCTACGTGGCTGGCTTAAAATAACTGTTGTGGATTCTATTGACTGATGAAGTCATGTTTTGGTTTGACAGCCACTAGCTCTTTTCCAAGCCTGACCCTATGTCAGTTAACAGTGCCCGTCGAGGAAGGCAATGGCTATGCGTGCATGCGTAACACATGTCCTAACCATCTCAGTCAATGTAACTTTACAGCGTCGTCGATTGATTTGCTTTCTCACCTACCTAGCACTCGACGCCTAATCTCAATATTGTTCACTCTATTATACCATTTCACACGGGAGACAGAACGTAGGCACCTTTGATCAAAGACAGGTAACTGGCCTTTACATGTCCTTTATTCTCAATGGCCAGGTCTCACAGCCATAAAGGAGGACGGAGAGGACTGCTGAGCAGTACACGCGTCCTTTGGTCAATAGCCGGATATCACGTCTACGCCAGAGACGGCGTAAACTGGCCATCTGTATCCGTGCTGAGATTTCGTCAGTGATCAACCCACTGGCGATGGCTTATGCAACTTCCCAAATAAGTGAAGCGGTCAACACGCTCCACCACTTCACTCCCTATTTCTAAACTAGGAGTCAGTGTAGTCCAGTCCTGTAACATCATCTTACATTTGACGAGAGCGAATCGTATGCCAAACATTCGTAGTAATGCTAAACATGGTGTTCCTACTGTTTAATTCATAACAGAAAGATACCATTCATGTAACACAGAGACGACTGAAAGAAAACAGTACACACTAATTTGCGGATTTCTTTAATCATATTATTTGTCACTTATTTAAAACAAGCTTGGTATAATGGATGGGTCAAGAGATGCACCACACAAAAATAATAAAACCACAAAATAAGGAGAATAAAAATAGAATAAGTGAAGGACAGAGTCAAGAAAACAAGTAAACGTAGTTACCGTTACTTTTGATTTCGAATTGTCTCTCGGACTCTACCCAAAGAGTTGTGGTACAATAACATCTGCTAACCTAACACAACTACCCTTCATCTCACAGCACCCCATTATACGCGTTGCTCCCGAAAATGACCTAGTAAGGCCGATGGTGAGTAGACTGTATTCTTCCTCCTAAAACACTTTCATGTTGCTAGATTGGTTGACCCATATAACATAAGAAACCTAGAGAATAGTTCAGTTATAGCACTACATGCAGTTACACACAACACAACCATACAATAGGATGGATGGGATAAGATGACAGTTTTAAAATCTAATGTTCCTGCAGGGTGGAGGGAGAGATTGATAACAGAAGCTTTGTTTATCGAATCAATTGCAAATACGTGTAATAGGAATGATTCAACACCTGTCCACCTAAATATCTGGAAAATTCTACTACCCCTACGAAGACAAGTAGGAGAGAAAAAAGAAAACTATAAAACTGAAGTTTCAAAGTCGTGTGATTATAATTGATGGAATGATTATGAACAATAAATTTTTTGTCGAAACTGTGTCATCCAGTAAATAGTAATACTGTTTCATCACTGTGTGATACATCTAATAAACAAACTGATATGGAATTACTTACTACCACAGTGCCCATGTTTTACACATATATTAATACTTTCATGTGGCGTTCATGGCCTATGCCAAGTAAGTCCTACTCTCTACCTTCAGATGGTGGGCAATGTTCTCACAAAAATTAAAAGGTAAATGAGGATGTTTGACCCTTATCAATGGACTGGTGAACATGGATGCCTATTTAATAGGGCTGAAAAACCCTCGTCCCACACATACGATGCAAATGAGCACCAGAATCTAAATGGGTCGAATGGCATACGAACTGGCAACCTTCGGCAAGAAGCTCCTGACGTTACTCTGCCATTTTCCGGATCAGGCTCCAAATCAAAGGCTGGGGGAGAGTTCCCTAAAGATAAACCCCAACCGAAAGCTGCTACCTTGACGTGATGGTCGGGCTTGGACACGGCGATGACCCAACAAGCTATACTGGCTGGGACTTATGTCGTTTGAGATCCTACCATGCCAGAAAGGTTGTTTGGATAGCGGTTAGACAAAAAGCAGTTACCCAACCCAATGCTAAGACTCAAACAAAATCACAAAATATCATGCCGGATCGGTCGGGGCTCGGATTAACAACGACTGCGCTTCCTGCTGCCGTGTCACAGGGCAGAAGTGATAAATATGCTACTGAGACAAAACAAAAAAACAGACCGCGTGTGACCGGCCTCAAGCAGTTGTCCCCTGGGCTCTGCGGTCACGCAACCAACTTCCACGGTGTGGGCGCCGGGAATAACAATCGCCCTCACAATCCGAAGTGCACGCGAAACCTCTCTAATCCTCACTCATGATTGTCTTCACCTTCACCCCTTTTCTCTTGCCTACCTTCTACTGATGCAACTCCTCTACTTGATGGCTCTTCACTTCCTCTTTACTCTGTGTCCACTAAAAACGACGGAAGCCAAACGACCACTACCGATAGTCTCCTAAAGCCACGCCACCAATGTCATATAGGAGCACTTAATGTTAGGACACTTTGCCAAATAGGACAACAAGCATCACTGGCCAAGACTCTGGCATCCCAAGCCATTGATGTATGTTGTGTTTCAGAAACACGCATACAAAACCCAAGTGTGGTTATTCACCTAACCCCACCTGGCCAACAGGATGAATCTGCGAAATTCACCTTGAGGGTGTCAGGAGATGCCACAGCTAGTTCACGAGGATTAGCTGGTGTAGGGATAGCTTTGAGTACTAGGGTAGAAAAGACACTACTTGACTGGATCCCGGTAGATAGCCGAATGTGTGCTGTCCGTCTGAACGGATCAGTGAAAAGGAGAAAGGACTGCACTACTCGCCGATGCCTTTTCGTAATCTGCGCCTACGCTCCCACTGACTGCAGTTCGGATGAAACGAAGGATGAGTTCTACCAAAAGCTGTCTTGTTTGCTGCGAAAGGCTAAACGCTAAGATATAGTCGTTTTAGCTGGTGACTTTAATGCTCAAGGAGGAAAATTGTGTCAATCTGAGAAGGATGTCGGTGGCACCTATGGAGTTCCGTGCCAGCGAACCGACAACGGTGACCGTCTCCTACAGTTCTGTTCAGATAATCATTTGTTTCTTGTAAGCACTAACTTCAAACACAACGAGAGACACTGTTTGACCTGGCGACCTCCATCATCAAGCGAAAGCTGGACACAAATAGACCACATAGCAATAAGCTATCGTTAACGTGGGTCGGTAGGAGATCGTCGCTCCTTCTGAAACACGTGTGTAGATACCGATCACGCACTGGTCCGCACTCGTGTGTGCTTATGACTGAATGGGCGTAGGAAACAGTTGACAAGTCCTCATGTGATAATTATAGAGGGATTAGCCTAACGAACATAGTTTCTAAAATCCTAGGCTCAGTAATCATGAACAGACTAAGCCGAACTCGGGAGGAACAAACGAGGGAAAATCAAGCAGGCTTTAGGCCAGGTAGAGGGTGCATAGATCATATCTTCACTCTCCGACAGATCCTAGAACATAGACACACTTTTAGGCGTCCAACAATTGCCATATTTCTTGACTTGAAGGCGGCCTTCGACTCCGTGGATCGAGAGGTACTATGGCAATGTTTGACTGTGAAGGGAGTGCCAAGCAAGTACATTGCACTAATCAAGGCACTCTACTCAAACTCACGTAGCCGTGTAAGGGCTTATGGGGAATTGTCATCTGAATTGATAACACAGTGGTGTCCGTCAAGGATGTCCACTTTCCCCATTTCTGTTTAACTTCATCATAGATATGCTAATGGAAGTATCCTTAACTGAACTTAACGACTTAGGAATCGACTTGTTACCAGGGAATAGTCTTATGGACTTAGAATATGCAGACGACATAGTCCTGTTAGGGGATGATGCTGACAAAATGCAGAGTCTTCTGAACACCTTGAGCAGCAATCTTCGTATGTTTGGCATGCGATTCGCCCCTGTAAAATGCTGCTACAGGACTGGACTACGTCTACCCCTAGCTTAGTGATAGGGAGTGAAGTGGTAGAACATGTTGACCACTTCACCTATTTGGGAAGTTGTATCAGCACCAACGGATTGATTGGTGACGAAATCTCAG